TCCAGATGATAGTGACCCCTGTCCTCACACATCCTTTTTTCCTGAATTGTATAGAAGATATTCTTGGGAAAGGTTCTGGTGGCTTTTCATACCATCATGATTTGATATCTGTTGCATGGTACAATCTTTAACCCATCATCAGTACAAGAATTCTAACTAAATCCAAATATAAGAATTCCTTAGGGAATGGAGGTGTCGATCAAATTTTCATGTCTTTCTGGGCTGACAAATAGACTGATTCTGATCATTAATCAAAATATTCCCAGATCCATATAAATGGAAGCTAGTAAATTGTCATGCTATTCATTGACCTGAAGATTGCAATATAGATGCTTTTATTGTTTTCTTCATTTGGGGACTTTTTCATTTAATGTCTTATTTTTTTTGTTTCCCAGAATAGAGATTGGCCTGAAGGATTCCCACCTGACTTGTTATGACAACCTTTTCCCCTAAGCAGTACTTTCTAGAAGTAACGCACACCAAGTGGAGGGTGGAAAACCACAAATGGACCCAAAGCGCTCAAGAATTGCTAGCAACAGCACTATCCCTTCCAAATATTTCACACACATTACTGACAGCAATGCGAAGTCTTCAGCTCACTGTAGACTGTGGGTTTTGCAGTTATCTAGAAAGATAACTAAACCAAGAGTCAGAAGATCTTGACTCAAATGCATAAAGGATTTTTTTCAAGCTGACAGTTGTATCACTTCATTTGGGAAAAAGAATAACAACAAAAATTAAATTTCAACAATGACCTTCAGAAATGTTCCCTTGTGTTGTTAAAATCTGAGCTATGGCAACAGTGAAACTTTACGAATATTTTAAGAATTTGTTAAAACCACTCAGATATATTTGAAATTAACCAGAAATAATTAAGAGAAAAATAAAACAATAGTCTCTATTCTCCTATTGGAGCCCTATTTTCTTCTTGATCAGTCTTAGAAACATTATTATATTTTCATTCACCCATCCTTAATTTTTTAAAATATTTGAAGCAAAAAAGGCCACATTTATCAAAAGATTCATTTTGATAGTTAACCTGATCTCCATCTGTAAAGTTTTAACATATTTTAATTTTTTTAATTAAATAAAATGCTTACAAAGATTTTCTCACAATACATACTTGGGACTTCAAATCGTTTGTGAGAAAATTCCACTATCTTTCTATTCCATTTTTGTATGATTTTGAAGCCCCCTCTTAGGAGTCCTAGGGCCAGGAGAAATGTTGATTATACTTTTTGAGGTGGTTCTTGCCGTGGTTGAATATATCCAACTTTTCCTCAGGGTTACCTTGTTTCACAAATGGTGCTGAATCCCGGAAGATGGGAATAGGAAGAGTAGGCCTGTCTGGAGAAACTCACCGACCAGCTCCCTGCAGTAAGATGTTTGCGGAGTGATGACAAAGTATGTAGAGAGACTGTGGGAGCACAAAGGACAGTCAAGCTGTTCTTCTTTAAAGGACAATGAAATGCTGCTCCCCTCACTGACTTCAAATGAAAAGGGGTAGGTGGCTACTGAAGGTAGATTAAATGTCTCATCTGATTACGGTAGAGTAAAATGTGAAGTGAATAAATTTCAATCTTTCTGAAATTTAGAAGCAGTTCATGTATTGGGTTTGAAGTTATGAGGCATAAAATTATTTGATGACCACATGGGGTTAATACAGTAGCGATCTCATCACTGAAAATATTAAAGACTTTTGTAGAGAGGTTAAAATATAAAGGGAAACTATCTGAGCTTTGGCTTACATAGACTTAGATTTAAATCATGACTCGGTTACTTATTATTCATGTGTGCTTAGGTGAATATCTCAACCACAATTTCTTCCTATGTAAAATAGAAAGAATATTACCTATTTATAGGGCTATTATAAGCATTATTAGACAATATTTACATAGCACCTGTTGAATTACTAGGCCAATCATAAAGTGCTCAAAAGTGATAGTGGCAGCAATCTGTTCCCAAATCAAGCCAAGGATTCAAATGTAGAGTGCTTTGTCCTTGGCAGAGAGGAGGAGGCTGTTGTTAAGGGTGAAGGAGAGAGCTGTGCCAAAAAATCAAGAGTAGCAGGCAGAGAGCAAAGGCAGTGGTAATGTCGATGATGATGATGATGATGGTAATAAAGATGCTGATGATCCTAGTGCTTCCCAAAACTCAGAATGTTTTTCAGTGAATTGAGTCTTTGGCTTCCTAGGAACAAAGAAAATACATCCTCCTAACCTGAAGGTCTGCTTAGGAAAAATTGAGCTTCAGTTAACCTCTTGGCTGACCAGACCGTTCCTGTATCTAAAAGAAGTCTGAATCTCTGGAATGTCTTCCCTGGTATTTGATCAGCTGGTATGAAAACTGTGTTTCCGACTGAACCACTTCTGTAATCCAGCCAGCAAAATACAGAGTGTTGCCCTCATACACACACTGAGTTGGAAGAGAAGTGCATCGTGAATGAGGTAGACAAGGGAAGGCTGGGATCTGGGTCACATTCTTGGAAGAGAGAGCACACGAACACTAATGCAAAGTTCTGGAAGCAGAGGGAGCCCAGTAGCTTGAGAGTAGGGGGATGATTCCTAGGTGGCATAGGGGTGGTCCAAAGACAGACAGATAAGGGCTGTGTGTGCCTGATGATAAATCTTAGACAAGTTGACATTTGGAGAACCAGACAAAGAGGCAAATAATTACTATTAAATCAGAAGGAATAGCAGCAAGAAGGTAGCATTATCTCTTACACAACATTAGAGGGTCCATGTGAAGTTCTTAGCTGAAGGAGAAGAGGTATGGTCAAGGGCAGAAGACTCAGAGTGCTGGGGAGGAAAGCACACTCTCTCACACAGGGAACCAAAATAAAGCTCATTACCAGGATTAAGTACAAGGTTGGCACTTGTAGATGCTAATGATAGAGCAGGAGTCTAAATGCAGCATCTTTATTTTTACACAAAGCCCTAATGTCGGGATAATGCCTTTGGAGGCTTGAATGAAACAGCTAGGAGATTAGGATGGAGGAAGAGACCGTTCATTTTAATTTAAGTACTTTTCAAGTGAAGAATACTTTAAAAGTCTAAACTAAGGGAACTGAACTCTCTCAAACAGTGGAAGACTGGAGACAAAGGGAAAATGTTTCAAAATGTCTAAAGTCTTGCTCTCAGAGAAAAACAATCAGTTGTTATCGCTCCACCTAAAGCAATCCCGGCTTTAGGGGAATACAGCTTTCAGACTGTTGAAATATCATGGTCTCTTTATATTGTCACTGATATAAAAAAAAAGTAATGTCTTTAAAGTAGTATTTTAAAATCTCAAAGTCCCATCACATTCATTGTTTGATGCGATTTTCTCAATAGCCTCATGAAGTAATGAGATAATACGATCAGGCAGGCTTTCCAATGTGAAAATGGAGGTACAGGTGAAATAGAATGGCTTCATTAAGGTAATAAAGCCAATTATGGACTCAAACTCAGATGATCCAACTTGCGAATTCAGGCCAGCCGCCAGCATCTTGGTAAGCAGTCAGGGGAGTGACAGAAGCTACTAAATGATGCCCATGGATAGTCTTGTCCCCGGGCAGTCTTAGACATGTACTTCCTCCATCGTGTACATTGCTGAAATATGCATAAAATTTTGGAATTTGTTTTCTCTGTCCTCTCCCTCCCTTTGCTCCACAACAAAGTTGTTCAGTGGAAAAAGCAAACACTTGGGATTTGGGCCATGTTCTATTCCAATCCCAGCTAGAATATTCTGCAGCTTCTAACAAAGTACTTACCTATTAGAAGTACTTTTCCACTGAGTTTTCCACTGTGTGGATTAGAGGTTATAATACTCTGTTGGGACAGGAAGTCTTGAGAAACTAATCCAGTGACACTAATATATGTATAAGAAAGAGCTTCATATCAAGAAATTATAAATCTAGAAAGCATCCTAGCCCAGTCTAACTAAAATCTATAAATCTGCTGCTAGTCTATAAATCCTTCTGACTCATACAGCTGTAATGCCCGAAAAATGAAGCAGGAAGCAGAAAGCTCACAGGCCTTTGGGTACAGAGTCAAGTGGACCCAAGGTTGGTGGAAACATGGCAGGGCACCGTACAGCTCCCGGGATCAGGCAGCCCCATGGGGCTGCCCTGGAGGCAGGCAGAGTTCCAAAAGGCAGGAAGGTGGAGGGGCAGAGAGAGGGGGAGGTTCCCAGTTTCTTCTGGGAGGTCACACCCACATGGAGGCATCATCAGACTCGGACCTGATTGGCAGGTTGGCTTCCATCCTTATACTGTCATAAAAATTCAAATTGGTCATAAAAATTCAAATTGACACAAAATCATCTAACTAACACAAATACCTATTTAGTAGAGCTTTTAAGTTATGTAAACATGACCTATGTGTAACACATAGCAGATGTTAAGTAACATCTTGTGGGTTTGTTGTTTGAGATCATTTGAAGGAACAATATTGGATCACTTTTACAGTTGACATTTGGGAATAGTTAGTTACAGTTTCTCAGGGCCACATGCAAATTAACTAAAAAATTAACCAGGTTTTCTAAAGCTTAGTGTAGACCCGCTGGCTTCCCTGGGTCACACCTTCTTAGTAACTTTCTTATTTAAGGCACCACGACTGGAATGGACAGTGATTGGATAGAGATCATATCCCATCAGGGATCTACTGTCTCTCAGGAATTCTAGAGCAGCAGCATGCTGGGAGATTGGTCGTGTAAAGTACCATCGTGTAAAGTACCATCGACAAATGGAAGATAGCATCCAGAGAATAAGTCCCTCAGCCCCTCTGCCTGCAGACAGACAATTCTGAAGTGCATTCCGTGCGCTCCACTCGCTGACGGTGGCCACCCTCACGGTGGCACCCCTCATTGTAGAGTTTCATCTTGTCTCCCTGTCCCGGTAGCCACGTAAACCTTTCAAGTAACGGCCTGCATTAAGCCTTGGTCTCGGACGACGTCTAGGGCACTGACGGCTTGGAGGATTTTGTTGTGTTCTCATCTTTTTTCTCTCTCTTCCACCATAGGTCACTAAGATGCTGGCAGTGGTTGTGATTCTCTTTGCCCTTTTATGGATGCCCTACAGGACCCTTGTGGTCGTCAACTCCTTTCTCTCCAGTCCTTTCCAGGAAAATTGGTTCTTGCTCTTTTGCAGAATTTGCATTTACCTCAACAGTGCCATCAACCCAGTGATTTATAACCTCATGTCGCAGAAGTTCCGTGCGGCCTTCAGAAAGCTCTGCGACTGCAAACAGAAGCCCACCGAGAAGCCCCCGAATTACAGCGTCGCCCTGAATTACAGCGTCATCAAGGAGTCCGACCATTTCAGCACCGAGCTGGATGACCTCACCGTCTCTGACTCTTACCTGTCTGCCACAAAGGTGTCTTTCGATGACACCTGCTTGGCTTCGGAGGCCACCTTTAGTCAAAGTTGACTTACGAATTAGGAGAAAATGGACCTCGGAGTAAATCGGAACGTGTGTTGTTCTCAACAAAAGAGAGGCAATGGCCAATAATTGGATGTGAAGACAGCAGAAAATGTCTTTGCCATGGTTCTAGCAAGTCTTGGCCTTAACTCCTTCAACACATCGGAATGTTTCCGCTATTCCTTCTTACAGGCAAAGTGGCTCAGCTCTAGACAGCAGCCCAAACAAATCAAAGTAAAGCCCTTTCCATTTAAATTGAAACGTCCACCGTATTTTCTGAGGCTGTGCAATTTATATCAAAGCTAAGCATGATTTTACATAACTTACAACTTTTTCAAAGAACTGGTTTCTTCCCTCAAAGCATATGTCAACATTTGATAGTTTTGGCAGCATGCAGATTTTCAAATGTTCGTATTTAATGTTTCTTTTAAGAAAGTACGGACTATTTCGTGACTATCCGAGACGATGGGGGAAATGCGGAGAACGGTTCCTTGCTGAGAATGAGTTTCTAGTTTACCGTATTAAAACACAGCACCAAATGTCATGTTTATTTATAAAATTATGAGGAAGCTCATCATTCAACTTTAATACAAAGCGAATTTCAAAGCTATCCAAAATTAGATGTGATTTTTAGATAAATCCAGCTTCTATCAACTCTTTGAGCCTCTTCACTGATAAGTAGGACAGTAGAAGTAATGGTTAATAACTGAACACACAAAAATACCAGGCAATATTGGAAAGCAACTGCTAAGACATGACTAGATAGTTAAAAGCAGGTTTTACTTTCTCTCTGAAACATTTAAGGAAGAAAATCCTTTTTGAACATTCTTGTGCATGAACTGCTGAACCTTGTCGGGTGACTCCTCCCTGCTTTACCGTCTGAAACAGTCAGTACAGCTCAGTTGCACTCCAGGAAAGCCCAGGCTGGCTGATGGCCCTCCGGGTGCAGCCCTGCCCGAGAGCATTGCAGCTTATGGATTTTAAGTTGGCTGCAATTGTCTTTCTGTCCTGCCGTGCTTGTCATTATCGGTTCTTCCCATCCATGCCCAAGGTTAGTGATAGTTTGTTTTCAGATTTGAAGTCTCTGCAAAATCTCTGCTGGCTTTTTTTTTTTTCCCCAATGGCGTTAAACCAAGTTCCTGATAGCATCGGGATTTCTTCTTTTGAGTCCTGGCCTAGACCTGCTCGCAGTGTTTATTAGAGAGGTGTGAAATTGAATCTGCCCAGGACATTGTTTCAGTTCTTAACCTTTATTTCTTTTAAATCACTCGCCTGCTGAGATTGGTCATTGAGCCTCTCCCAGTATATAAATTGTCCTAGTCGACGATTTTGTAATACTTCATCGTTAATCCCTGGATCAAACAGTGCTAGGCACCTTTAAATGCCCTGTTGGCTATCATTTCCTCTACCCAGTTTCATCTCTATGTTTCAGGTATTTTTTTTCCTGAAGATGAATTACTAGTAATATTTACTCTTCCCCTCATCTCAATAAATAATCCAGACAAACTTCACTTTATTGTACAGCTCTTTATTGTCCATTGTAGATATTGCACTTTTGAAAAACAAATTGATGTTTTTATGGTAAATCTGCACCACATAAGTCTATTGGCCCCATTTTTCCAACATCAGGCACTCACTTCCTGTTTGTGTGTTGCATTTTGACAGTCCTCACACAATCTCACTTTTCCAAGATGCTACTGAAAGTACCATGGCCTGCAGAAAAGACAAACCGATCTGTACTGGAGGAAGTAAGGCCAGAGAACTCCCTAGAGACAAGGATGGTATGCCTTCATCTTACACACTTTGGACATATTGTCAAGAGAGACCAGTCCCTGGAGAGGGACATCATGTTTGGTTAAGTGGAGGGGTGGTGCAAAAGAGGAAGGCCCTCAAGAAGATGGATTGACACCATGGCCGCATCAATGCATAAGAACAATTGTGAGGATGGCGCAGGAGCGTGCAGTGTTTCATTCTATTGTGCATAGAGTTACTGTGGGCCAGAGAAGACTTGATGACCCCTAACTACAACAGCCTACATAATAGACTACATGATAGTAAAACTGTCTTTTTTCTATGCTCTGGGGGAACCTCAAAATCTGTGTGGCTCACTTTATCATGGTGTTTGCTTTAGTACAGTGGTCTGGAACCGAGCCCTCAATATCCTGGAGGCATGCCTACACATCGCTCTATGTTAGAACTTCTGTTTAAGCGACTGCTTCATGGAAACTGTCATCAGAAGTATGATGTTGTGAAATACGGCCTCATTGACTCCAAGTGGACGTTTTTATCCCATCACTGTAGCAGTAAACAAAGGCAAACAAATATTTATAGGATGTGCCCTAAAGGGCTATGCATGTGATACTTAGCAATCTATGGTAACTGACTTTTCCTCCTGGGTTTGACTTTACTTGGAATCCTTTAAGAGAGCCCCAGAGTGCACCCACCCCAGATCAAGCAAGCACATACAAAACACCACCAAAGCAATTGCCTTCGAATGCACTCCGACTCATGACAACCCTGAGTGTTTCAGAGCAGAGCTGTGACCCACAAGATTTCAATGGCTTACTCTTTTGGAAGTTGAGCCTTAGTGTTTTCTCTAGAGCTACTACTTCTAGGTAGACCAGAGCCCAGAAGCCAGTTAACCATTGATGACATTAACCATTCACACCACCCAGGGACTCTAAAGGCAACACACATGTGCCAAGTTGCTTAACAAAAGTGGTTGGGGTATTCAGAAATGTCATTAGACAAAGGAATGCATAGCAGACCTAATAGACAAGAACTGAGTCTGATGTGGTCAATGTTGTATTCACTACATGTCACTATATCTATGATTTCTATTTTAATAAGATCAGAGATGCAGGATGAAAGCTGCTCCCCTAAATTGTGTAAGCTCCTCTGGAATGGAGAAAATACTTCCCCCACCCCCAGTTTATTCTTGCTTTAAGCCAACATCCTGATTACAATTCCTTCCACCTAGTGGCCCAATTAATAGAAACCATATATTGCAGAGGCTGAAAAATATTACATTTATTGTTACATAATTTACACAGAAGAAAATACACTTCCCACTTTTTGAAATTTAATATGTGGGCTTAGATTTTTCATTTTAATTTTTAAAACATTATCTGTGAATAATCTTTTAGTTTTGAACCACCTGGGAAATTTGAAAGAAGACAGTTCATACTGTTTCAACCCTAAGCAAATGCCATTATAAAATTAAATGCTCCCCTGAAATCTCCAATAGACATTTAGGTTTACACAGAAGGGATATAACTTTTTTAAATATTGTCGATCACACTATACTAAATCATAAACTAGTCCCACAAATAATCAAAACTTAATATGTTATCAAATGAAAAATCAGGAGGTAGATTAAAACTTTTCTTGTGGAGCAAATTAATGTAATAAGGGTATCTCTTAATAAAATTCCTTGAGTTATTTTATTACCTTCTAGTTTTATTAATTGCTGGTGTCTTTGGTTAGGTCTTGCCCTGAGGTAATGAGGCAGAAGGCACGGATCATGAATAAAACCAGCAAACCTAATGTTTTTCTTAAGAAAGGTTTAGTATCCTGAGTATATTTCTTGAGAATAAATTCTGAGACAAATATTCCAAATGCTCAAGAGAATTGGGGGGGCGGGTGCAAAACTCTATCTTCTTCATTCTTTGACAGCGTCAGTGCCAGACCTACACCCATTAACAACGGGCCAAACCACATGACTCATTTGAGCAACAACTGATAAAATCAAAACTGTGGCATCAAACTTACTTTAGTGTAAACAAGTTTTATATGAATGTTTGAAGTCTTTTTTCAGAAAAATATATTGCAATAATAAGGGCATTATGTTTTAGCCAAGTTTTGGTCTATTCTCAAATGATGAAAGAGTTGTATTATTCTAAACTATGCTAGCTCAGTAGGCATTACCCAAAAAAGGAATTTAGGTGGGGGGAGGAGACCTGAAAGAGCTGAAAGGAACTTTTAATTGTCTATGCCAGGATCTGTGAATCTGTGAGCTCTGCATGTATTGCATCCACCATTACGTGTGCCTCTCAACTCCACCTGCAGAAGGGTTGACATGTCTGTATTTGCATTACAGAAACCAGCAGTGAGTGAGAGCAACTAAAGTAGTCGAAGAAAAAAATTCTCAAAATATTTGGAATCAGAGCTTATCCTAAGGGGTGGGGGTGACCATTAAAATATCTAACAATTTGTTCTTTATTTATTTTTATATTCCTAGAACAACTAGCCATTAAAAACAAGACTTGGCTAAGTGAATATAAATTTAAGAGTAATAGGCATACAGAAATCTAACAGAATTCTGTATTGGTGTTTATTTTCTCCTTCCCCTCTTCTCCCATGAACTTTTATATTTCTACAAGCATCGCTTTTCTCAGAACAGAAAAATTCAATTAACTTCACTCGACTAGAAATGAACATGAACATCTTTAAATAAAAATATAGGTTTTCTTTCCAGTATATGTATATATAAGGAAATATGTTGTTCTGGAAATCTTGGTTGTCATCAAATCATTTTCAAATTATGTAAAAACGATTCAACTAGTATTGCTATTTCACTTCCGTCCCCATCCACCTGGTAAGAATCATGCATGGGTTTGAACAGCTCAGTGTGACTTTTTTCACACAAAACAAGGTTATCAGTTTGGATTACAAAGGTTTCAGGTGGAAGCCAATAAAAGAATACCTAATGTGTGCAAAGCTGCTGCACAAAATGTGTTTGAGAAATGAAAGGATTTTCCTATTCTTAAGGCATTCACAATCCAATGACAACCCCCAACCCCCCCAAAAAAAGACAATGTAACAGTTTGGTTTTTAATATTTTTATATCCGTTTGTTTGCTCTAAATCAGTCAATGATCCTTTCACCGGGGTCACTCGATTCATAACAGTAGCAAAACTATAGTTATGAAGTAGCAACAAAAATAATTTTATGGTTGGCGGTCACCACAACATGAGGAACCATATTAAAGGGTGGCGGCTTTAGGAAGGTTGAGAACCACTGCTCTAAATAATCTCAAATCACTTAGCAACAAATCCCATAGGGCACGGTTTATTACTGAGCTGGTTAGCACCAAATAGACTACACTGATATAAACTCATCCTTTATAGTTTTTATTTTAAACCTTACACAAGGTCTTTTGCCAAGAGTGATTATAAATGTTTGTACACAAAGTCGACATGTCTGTTTTTATATTCTCCTACATCAAGCACATTCATGGTTAGGTCCAGTAGAAAATAATGGATTGGAATTTTGGAAATTATATGTGGAGCGAGTGAAATAAATGGACTACCCATTGTCAGTACTGCATATTGTCACAACCATCAAATCTAGGTCCAACAAGAAAAATATTATATTGCTAACAAACAGTAACTTTGTATAGTGAATGCATGGATGACCTCACCAAGGAGGGTCTGGATCAAGTTCATACCATGGGCCCTCAACCGGCATCATGGAAATGGAAGCACTTTGAAAATTGTTAGGAAAAAGAATGAGGGAGATTAATGGGGTTACTGAGAGATCCTGAAATCTATCAGAGACTTGAAGGGGCAGATGCTTCAGAAATAATGAATTCACTTCTTGCACTTGGGGGTGACTTTGACTTGCCATAAAAGAGTCGTGTTGAACTTTGCCAAGAATCTTAAAAGGTTGAGAGAGAGGAAGATAGAGCCTTTTCAGAAGAGAAAAACATATACAACATGGCAGAATAAACCTTCACAAATAGGAAGTCTGAATTCAAACGTGAGTATGAATGGTCTCGGTATCCCTGAAATGGCACAAATGCCCCAATAAGGATGCCAAGTTCTTGGCTACCTAGCCAGGAAGAATAAACCATGTTCGCTTTGGTATACCACAGAATAACCAGGAAGTTTATCCTCCATTTGGCAATGTTGAGCCCTGGAGGCTTCTAATTGTACCTTGAAAACCACAGAGCCCTAATGCTCCACATAGTCTTTGAGGCTCTTATTTATCATATAATAGTTAATAAACAATCAAAAGGAATACTCTTTAAAAGTAAGTCTCGGAGATACGTATTTATACTTTACAGATGACCCAAATGTGAATAATATTCCTAAGTGTCTGTTCAATGAATGAATAAATCAATAAATGCCAAACTAAAGGATTACATTCTTAGATTGTCTAGAATGTTCATATAGATGTAGTCTCACAGAAAGATCACTAATTTTCTATTCCTTTCACTTGTTTTTTTAAACAGTTATCCCAGCTCACTAAAAAGCATTGCTTTCAGTGTGCAGGGTGGTGGTCAAAATTACCCCTTACATATGTATCATGTTTCAGTAACATTTTCACTTCTATCAGCTAATTAATAATGAAAAATAAAGAAGGCTAAAACATTGGCTCTACCAATTTAGTGACCAAAAAACCTGTAAGAAAACCAGAGTATGTGGTTGGAAGCCAAATTATCTGGCTTCAGACTTCAGTGTGTTCTCCGATCTAAAGGCAGCCTCGGTGAGTTCCAGAGTTGTTAAGGAGGGCTTTGTAGAGCAGGTAAGGGTTCTTTGAAGGATGTGTCTGATTTAGTGTGAGAGTTTAGAAATAGAAAAATCACTGGGGGAAAATAAGAGGAGTAAACAAACCGTAGGTCAAGAGGATACATTTCCAAAAGTAATCCAGTTTATCAGAGATTGATTGAGCAAGGCAACTCGTTCTTTAAATTTTGCTGCCACCAAGAACACTCCCAATAAAGGCAGTTCGGACCTACATGTACTTATGTCAGATAAGGAAA